CAATTATATTTGCACTCACACGCACACAAAAACTAAATGTAAAGTGATACTATGCAAAGTAAATCAAACAATCTGACAAATAAGAATTTCTGACTTCTATTTTCCTGGGGCCAAGACAGATAGATTTGGATTAATTTCTTTAAATTTTCTCAATAGTCTATGGACCTTGGGGAGTGGATTCGCAATTGTTTAAAGTTATTTGGAGATCGTGAGATGTGGCCTAAAGTGGGCACTCTCAACACGACACCCAATAATGACACATCTTCACAGAAAACAAACACTTTGAGCCCTGAAGATGATCTCAATAATGATCGAAACGTTGGCACAACAAAGAGAATGTTTTTCTAAAACCTATGTCATACCAGACCGCAACTCACGATCTCCCAAATCATTAATCAACGGTCACTAAACACCACACATTGTTTAAAGTCTTACATATAATCTAACCGTAAAACAAATAATACTTAATGTTTCATTCTTGTTTGAGTAATTCTATATTTATTTATAGACGTTTTATTTAGATTACCAAGAATAGTTGAACTGATGATAGAAGAATCATTTACGTTTTCAGAATTCTCGATGAATGATAAATAAAACGATTCATAATAATTTCTTTATTTGGTTGGATTGCCTGTTAATGGACAGAACTCTTTCCTTGTTTGTCACAGTTGGTTTTTTAGCCTTCCATATTTAAGCTACAACAGTATTGTAACTATAGTTCTGGAAATTGGCCAAAAATATAAAATGACAAAGAAAATGTACAAAACCTGCTGTTTATAATAATTTCCTTATTTGGTTGAATCTTCTGTAAATGGATACTCTTTCCTAGTTTCAAGAAGTTTGCTTTTGTCTCCATATTTAGAATACATTAGCCTTATGTCACTGTATGATACCACGAAATTAACAAAAATGAAACTAAAATAAGTCCTCATCATAGCCTACATTAAACGAATGTTTAACTATTTACTACATTCTGCTGATACGATACATCATACTGACATATTAAAAAGGTTAGGTGAACTTATTACATTTTTCAGAATGCATTAGTCATTGGTATTTAAACACTTTCCATGTGTTTAGGCAGTAATGCAGAAAATATTAAATATTTTTACTAGTCCACAGCCTGTTTTTTTTATTTTTTTATTTCTTTAACTTTTTTTAAAAATTAGCTAAGAGACAATGACAAAATTATTCTCATAAAGAGTAATGGGTGTAGGCATTCATTGAAGTTTTTGACCATTATTGAAGTATTAAAGAAATTGAACATTTTACAATATTTAAATCCTTTGCAGTTCGTGGTCCGATTTACCAATTAATATTTTTCAGTTAATTAATATTTATAGAAGGTAACGAGCAGGATTCGAACCCAAGACCTTCGGCTAAATGGTAGAGCAGTGGCGTATTTAGCTGAAGGTCGTTGGTTCGAATCCCGCTCATGACACTGACTTTTTATCTCAACCAATCCCTTCCATAAATATTTTATAATAGTTTCATATTTGTGAGATTTCTTCTCTCTGAGCAAAACAAATAGGATAGGCAATAGGAAACGATGTAACTACAGATACTTGGACTATAACCAATTATTTGTGCCATGGAGGATGACAGTCCAGGGTGATTAGAAATAAACAGGCCACGTTTCCATATTTGCCTGGTATGTTCTACTAATCTAGTTTCACTCAGTTTGTGTTCAACTTTTTATAAATATTCAGCATCAGGCAAGGCATCAAGATCCGTGGAAGTAACATAGAAAGACAATTGCTTCTACAACTACAGTCTAATAATATCTTACATTACGCCAGTCGGGAAGATAAAATAATTTGTTTTAAAAGATGCTTATGTTAAAAGACTTGCAAAGAAACAGAAAAAGCAAGATATCTTTCAAAGAAAATTTATTTAGACATGTCAAAAATGAATTCATTGCTTAAAGTACATTTGTCGAGAGTTGTGAAAACTGCAAATATGATGATTCAAGATCACCAGAGATAAGAAGTACTGCTGGGACTAAATGCTTTAATTCATTCGTGTCAAGCGGAATGATCATTGTTGATTGAATATGCCATTTTCGTCTGGTGAGTCGAATAAACAAGGCCACAGTTAGTGTCATCAGTTGGACGATGTGCAACCGTTGTTTATTCATAAAATGTAATGAGTGTTTTTAGCCACAAGTTCAATTTGTGGAATGTTCAACAGGTTCAAGTGGTTATCCACGTAGGAGTGTTAACAAATGGATGTAATTGATATTGAAAGGCTCCTAGCCGTCCTGGGTCGCTGGCAGTTGTCAATTTAGACGGGCTGGGTACGACCTATGAACCTTTTCCACCCAATTTCGTCTTATTGACTGTTATGCTGAATAAAACAATATTTGCATTTTATAATTAACATTTAATATGTTACAATGTTGTCATTTACTGACTCATACTCAAATGTGATGGACTTCCCTGGATGTCACATTAAAACATAAATTTGAAACTCTACTTGACAAAAGGTTTCGTGAGGGATCAATTTTTAAGACAGAACCTGCTATGAATGCGTTTTTAAATAAGTAAATACTCAAATTTCTGTCTTTGACTTTTAACATTGTGTAATATTTGATAAAGTTAGATTCCACCCAAATTATTGTGCAATAAGTTGTGAAACAAATATTTCTATCCTTGCAATTCCGGCCATCTCAGTTCTTGTTGTATATCAACTATATAACAATTTTGAATCCATTAATAAAAAATCTTGTAGTTTGGTCTTTTAAATTCTGGGCTTTGTTGTTTTGCATCACCCTGGTGAAATGCCGAAATGTGTTAAGACAGACCAACATAGCAAGCACAGGCAGACCTGAAATGACTGATAACGACCAAATTACATATTCATCACCCCACAGCTTGCATAGAAAAATCCTCCTCCCAAAAGAAAAGAAAATCTATTTTACTTTATTTGAATCTAAATTAACACAAACCCACCACTGAAGATGGCAAAATGAGTCTGACGCGATGATAGGCAAACTGAAACAACCGACTACTGATATAGACTTTATCAAAGTTTAACATTAGCATTGGGGAAAGTTGAATCGTATGAGTTTAGTTAAGCTAGTTTGCTTGTAGATAAATTTCTTTAAAAAGTTCAATAACATCACTAGGACAAGCTTAATCAATTTAAAAAAAAAAATTGTAAATATCAAATTGTGAACCTACTTCGTAGAGTCTCAGGGGACTTTTGACCATTTTTTCGTCATACTATCAATCATTACTATTTTGGTCTGTCAGATGTGTTTTAGTTTTGATAGTTTTAGGATAGTTTAAACATGATTTGTGAATATAAAATTGCGAGGTTTCTTCATGAGGTCTCACGGGAGAATAACTTATGGCAATTTCTGATCTTTTTTGGTCCGGTTAACATCACTGTTTTGGCCTGTCGTATGTTTCAGCTTTGTTAGCTTTCGTATGAATTAAACATGATTTTTAAATATAAAAATGGTCTGGCTTTATGTGGTATTCTCAGAGGCGATGAACTTGGTTCTTTATGAGATTATTTTTCATCTATCCTCACTTTTTGGATGCTTTTTGACTTCGTTTTAGGATGAATTAAACATGATTTTAAATATAAAAATTGTGAGACTTCTTCGTGAGGTCCCAGAGGTGATGAACTTAGCTAGTTATGAGATTATGTTTTGTCTCTCAGCGCTGTTTTGATCATCCAGATGTGTTTTGCTAGTTCAGGCTGTATTAATAAAATTGAATAAAAACTTTATAAATATTCAGTAATTGTGACATTTCTTCTTTTCTGAGGCAATAGCCCACCACTGATGATTGCAAACAGCCAAAATGCATTTGATAAACTAAAATGGTGAGAATAAGCCATCAGAAATTTCCAATCTGTAGATATATATAGAACATATCAAATTTGAATATTTGCAATAGAAAAAGTTTAATCATGTGGATGTAGATAAATTTCTAAAAATAATTCAATGTACACTAGGTCAAACTTAAGTGAATTAAAAATTTTATTTGTAAATATGTAAATTGTTAGGTTTTTTCTGTGAAGTCTGTTATGTTCAAGAATGCACTTGGTCATTTCTGATCATTTTTGGTCCAACTGTCTTCACTTTTGTTGTAATGTCAGATCTGTTTTGGTTTTATTACCTTTAAGCTGTAAACACTAACCCACAACTGATGATGGCGAACATACAACATAGAACAAAACAGCAAAAATTGGCAGGCCAAATATAATTAGCAACAACCAAGATACAAACATCGAAATAATCGGACTTATTATACATGCTATTAAGCTCAGACTTTTAGTTGGGAAAATGCTGAAAAAGTTACACTTTTTATTAACTATTTTTATGATTTCCATCATGAATTTTAACAAATTTTATGTATATGTATGCTAGGCATATCAACTATTTTCTGAAGTAGACTTTTTAAATGGTTGCCAAACAAGCTCTGAAGGTTGCTTTAAAGGTCACAATCAGTATTGTTATTTTGAAAATCTGATTTCTATCACAGATTGAATTCCACCAATGATGAAAACACAATATCCTTTACAATTAATTAGACAATTCTTATACAACAAAATTTGAAAAATAAAATAAACCCCTAACTTCTATAAACATGACTCATTATATAAACTCTAGCGGATTTCACTGCTTATATAATGGTGCATGTTCGTAGATTTTACAAATTTATCTTATTTTGTTGGGACTAAACAGGCTGATTTTATTTTAAAAAAATGTTACCAGGAGATGCAGCAGCAGGCAAAACAAAGAAAATTAGCAGGGTGCTAATGATATGTTAATTTCTTAAGAATGACTATTTTCCTTATTGTCAGTAACTGTAAAAAATATGCAAGTTTATTCATTTGTGTATTTGTTATTATTATTTATTTTTATATAGTTTGGTTAAATTTTTTTTTAATTTTTTTAAATCAACAGTAGACATTAATGTTTAGACAAAAATCTATTTTAAAAGCTTTTCTTTGATAATCAATGTATGTTTTTTAATGTTTCTTAGATCTAATCCACTGCACAAATGAGCCAAACGTATCAATACCTCAGCTGGCGAATCTTCTCATTGAAAGGACACAGAATACAAACTGGGTCGTAGTCTTTAAAGCGCTCATTACTGTACATCATCTCATGTGTTACGGAAATGAGGTAAGCCTGTGTTTGGAAAGCTTTCTAGCCCTGTTGAAATTTTCTAAAATTTCTTTTCTTGTTGTTTCAGAGGTTCACGCAGTACCTCGCATCCAGCAACAGCACGTTTCAGCTGAGCAACTTCCTCGACAAAAGTGGAGTACAAGGTGAGCGATTTACCCATTTTAAACAAGTCAACTTTTACAAATGATTTTATATTTCTTACAAATGCTGGTTTCTAACAAAATAAATATTTTCTCTTTTTTGTCGGACCCAATTTTAAATACAGCCACAGGTAAACAAATTTATGCAATTGATTTTTCAAGAATGCCCTTTGTAGTAGTAACTTAAGTTTTTTTTTAATTTGACCTTTTTATTAAATTAGTTAAGTTTTAATGTTATTTGCAAATAAATTTAATTATTATTAATTTAATTTTTTAATTATATTTGCGTATTATTAGTCGTGGTATTTAGTTTGATTTATTGCCCAGAATTTTGAACCTCACCTTAATCTAATTAGAACACACAATTAGATGAATGTCCAATCAAGCTTGTATTGGCTAGCCACTGAAACAATATTTGTCGAGCTTACAAGCTGCTGTAGTATTGGGTTGTCTGGAAAATAATGCAGGTTCTCTATAAAATAAACTGTGTTTGATGGATTATTCTTTTGTATGAATGTCAACACTTTTTAACCCTCTTGCAAATAAAAAATGTTTGTTTACTTCTGTAGAATTTCATTACATGAAATAATTCAGCCTTTACTGCCAACGTGTCATTATTGCATAATTTTGTTTTATGAGTATTACGGTACAGTATCCAAATGGCCAGAAACCTTAATGGCAGTGCGAGTGAGAGTTCAGTAATGGTTTAAAATATTTTGAGCAGGAGGCTTTAGCCTTGAAGACAAAGAAGCCCATGGAAGGATTTCTTCCCTAGATGATGATAATGATGTTCTGCTTACTTGGGTCTAAGAAAATCCCAGAACAATGTTCAAGAACTTGCAGAGAATCTTTCAGTTAGCAAATCAGTCGTCACGACAAAGCTCAAATGTTGGGTTTATCATGTACTAAATGGCTTGGGGGGGGGGACATGAAGCTTGTACAACATGTGTGGTGATTAGTGACTGTTAGTCGATGATTACTCAGAAATCATGAGATGTGGTCTGGCGTGATGTAGGTTTCAGAAAAACATTTTCTTTATTGTGCCAACGTTTCAATCTTTATTGAGATCATCTCCAGGGCCTGGGATTTACAAACATTGTTTAAATTTAACAAATACATGTAGGATGTGGAAAAAAGTGAATTTATACAATGCAAAAAATAGATTTTTTATATTCAATTAAGTATTTCTACTCACTCAAAGTGTTCGTTTTCTGCGTAAATGTGCCAGTCTTGCGTGTCGTGTTGAGAGTGCCAGTGAGATATTGCTGTTTTATGTTTATATATTTTTATTTTATTTTATTTCTTTATTTGTTTTTATTTATTTTATAAACATAAAACAGCAATATCTAGAAATACTTTGATTGAATATAAAAAATATACTTTTTGCATTGTATAAATTCTCTTTTTTCCACGTCCTACAAGAATTTGTTAAATCTGAACAATGTTTGTAAATCCCAGGCCCTGAAGATGATCTCAATAAAGACCGAAACGTTGGCACGATAAAGAAAATGTTTTTCTGAAACCTACATCACACCAGACCGCATTTCACGATTTCTGAATAATCTCGTACATGTTTTTTGCCAAAACAGAAATGTACTTTTTCCAGATAAAATCGTTATTGTTATGAACAGTGGATTCTCTACGAGAGCAGCAGACATTCTGAACAGTGGCTCGACAAAGTAGAAGCTGCTTTCATTGCATTTTGCAAAGCCCCAACTCAATCCTCTAGCAAAACGTGTCGAAATGTATTGCTCTTAAATTGAAACAATGCTCTAGTGGCATTATTGAATCCATATTTGGTCAACCGGAAAAAGCCGATTGTTACATTGGCCCCATGTCTCACGTTGTCTCAAAACTGTTGGATCTTGGTTATGAGGTTCTGTCTCACCCTCACTATTCTCCAGACTCTGGCTTACCGACTACAATTTTTTCAGACACCTCGACAGTGTTTTATAATAAAAAAAATTATTGATCAAAAAAATTATATTCAGAGGGTATAGAGAAGTTGCCTTCGCATTGGGAGAAGTGTATTGAGAGTGATGGGGGTATTTTAATTAATAAAAAACGATTAAAATAATTTATTTAATTGGTTTTATTTTATAACCATAAACCTGCATTATTTTCTGGACAACTCAATAGATTAACTCTATTTTGCATTCATTTCTAATAAGATCATCTATGCAGTGTAAATTGGTAAAATTTGCAGTTATTGTCTAAATATTAAAGTGGATAATTTGGTTTTCCTTTATATGCGTATTGTTAAATAACACAGCAACAAAAACAATTTTTTTTAGGTTACTGAATGTTTAAACTTGATCCACGTTTTTAAGATAGACTATTGTTTAGAAATGTATGACAAAGCGTATCGATTTTAGTTAAAAAAATTGAATACATTGAAATTAATTACATTTTGCTTTTATATGGAAAAGAACTGATATATGTTAAGAAATTCATAATTTTTTAATTGGTCTACCCATGCTTTTTTGTAGTACAATTATATAATGACAGTACAGATGCATGTTATTTACATGATATAGAAAACATCTATGCCCTGTAAATTATTATTTTTGAAAACTGAGATTTTTAATAAATGTTTTTCTTTATTCCCTGTCTGACTCTCATGGACCGGCTAGGTGCTAGAGTCGGTAAGTTATAATAACAGAATTTTTTATGCTTTAAAGAAATGCGCTTTATTTTGTTTAGTAGAGTAATTAAACAGAAAATGCACCTAATATGAATATGAGGATATGCCTTTGTCCGTCTTTACCACCAACGTTTAATAATAAAAAGCTTTCCCGCATGTTAGCTTGAATAGGACTCTTTGCAGAAAAAAAATTGCCATTGTCATTTCTTTGGTGGTTGTTTTCACTTATCTGTCATTAATTGACATTTTATAACAGTCGTTTTTGTAATTTTCGCAGGCTACGATATGTCCCCGTTTATCAGACGATATGCCAAGTACCTCAACGAGAAAGCGATGTCATACAGGACTGTGGCTTTCGACTTCTGCAAAGTAAAGAGGGGGTGAGTAAATAAAATTTTATACGCGAATATATGAAAATTCGTCATGTGTGGAAATTTTAGAAAGGAGGACGGAGTTCTGCGAACGATGAACTCTGAGAAATTACTTAAAACTCTGCCAGTGCTTCAAGGCCAATTGGATGAACTTCTCGAGTTCGACTGCACTGCTGCCGATCTTAGCAATGGTGTGATTAACATGGCTTTCATGTTACTCTTTAGGGACCTTATCCGCTTATTTGCTGGCTATAATGATAGTATTATTAACCTATTAGGTAATATTCATTCGACAAAAAACTTTATAAATTTTTGAATATTGCCACAATTAACTTTTCTTTTTCTTTACAGAAAAGTATTTTGAAATGAATAAAAAACAATGTAGGCAAGCCTTAGACTTATACAAAAAATTCCTGATAAGAATGGATAGGGTTGGAGAATTTTTAAAAGTCGCAGAAAATGTAGGTATAGATAAAGGAGAAATCCCGGATTTAACAAAGGTACTTTTATTTGTCAATAATTAAATATTAGTTAACAGAACATCATGATATTTATATTTTATACAATAAATAGGCTCCAAGCAGCCTCCTTGATGCTCTTGAACAACATCTTGCTGCACTCGAAGGCAAAAAAGGCTCAGCAGCAAATACTCCCACACAGTCTGCCAGGTAATTTGTTACAAATAGGTAAACTTTTTCTTTTCTCATTTTGACTAATCCAGCATTAGGCCGAGATCAAGCTATTCCTACCTTCCCTGTCCTCAAGCTCCTTACCATTACTCCGACAACTATTGGATCCGGTATTCCATACAGTAACAATTTTCCGGAGCTCTCTTGTGGTTAACAATGTTCGCATTTCAGCCAACGATCCGATGTGAAGAGCGGGGTTTCAGCCCTCAGTAACACAAGCAGCGCTTTCGGCACAGCAGCAGCGCACAATGTCGACGCCAGTGAAGAAGCTCTGAGACAACAGGCTCTTGCTGAGGAAGAAGCAGCAATAAATCATTATAAGGTACAAAGAAGATATAATCACAATTTTGTGTTATAGTTCATAAAATCAAAAATACATGCAAACCAGCTACTGTGAAGTCTACAGGATTCTAGAACTATAAACTATTAACTAGAAAGTTCCAGTATGTATGCTAAATGTCTTTCACACTGGTTACATTATTCAATTAAGTTCATTAATTTTTTTTGCTGGCATTACTGCTTTGTTATAATCTCCAGATTGGTTCAGTATGCTCAATAAGCAAGTTTTATTCCAACTATTTATCTAAACTAAAAACCTTAATTAATTGTAATATATTAATTGGTCAAGCGGACCACGAAATTAGTGAATTTAATGAATTAAAATGAAGTATATTCACTAAAGCTCTCCGTGGCCGTTTCATTTGTCGCCGAGAATCCAATACGATTACACGACATTTGAAAAATGGCAAAAAGGTGGGGTTGAGGTGGGAAGTTGGTGTCCGAGTGGATCGAGGTCAGGATAGCTCAAATGGTAGAGCAGCAGCGTATATAGCCGAAGATCGTGGGTTCGAATCCCGCTCGTGCCATTGACTTTTTTATCTCAACTAAAAACCTTAATTAATTGTAATATATTAATTGGTCAAGCGGATCATGAAATTAGTGAATTTTATTCAAACATTTTTGAATTTGAAATGTTAGGTGTGTGCATATCCCCAACCCCGAAATTTTGACTAGAAGAAGAATCTGATCCCCGGGTTATGTTGTGATACTCGGGGAAGCCATGAATCGTCTCTCAGGAACAAGAAAGACTGCAGGGCACTTTTTTGTTTTTCAGAAGGGTTTATTTCCTATTTGGTCCTTTACAAAAATGTTGAATGTTGTATGACCACTTGCAAGAAGAACAAAATGCAGTAATTGACATCAAGCTCAGGATTGCACCCTCATAAGGTCCTATTGTCTGTTTGGTGGGATATTCGAGGATTAATTTATTGGGTTACCATGCTACCAAACCCTTAAACCGGGAACACACTCGATGCTACCCAGCGCCTTGCCACGTTTTGGCAGGGTGTGCACATCTATCCGACGTCAAGCACACGCAACGTACAGTCCACAGCGTGTATCACAAATCGGTATCACAATCGCAACGCCTCTTTTGTTCTTAATGCATTATTTTGAGCAAAACCATGAAATAAATTGTTAGTTAGACTTTATGAGCACAACCATGTAATAAATTGTTAGTAAAATTTAATTGTTTTAAATAAATTGGTATTATATTGGTATTGGTAGATATTAATTGGTCAAGCGGACGACGAAAACTAGTGAATTTAATTGTTTTAAATAAAGTTATTCCGGAGTTTTGATAAATTTTCTACCTAACCATCATAATTAAATAAAAACTCGTGAATTTTTGATCTCGTTTAATTTGGGTTATATTAAAATAAGGATGTTGTAATTAATATAAAGAATTACATATACATATTTTGAAATAAACTACAAATTATATGTGTGTCCTGTTCTGATGCTACTCGACAAAAATGGTGTAATTTTATTAGCAAAACCATGTAATAAATTGTTCGTTAAATTCATTCTATTAATAAATGGAATTCTGGTGTTTTGATAAATTTTCTTCCTAACCATCATAATCAAATAATTTTTATAAAAACTTATGAATTTTTGATCTCGGTTAATTTGGTTTATATTAAAATAAGTATGTTGTAATTAATATAATGACAATATACACGTGGTTTGAATAAAAATATGAGTGTCCGGTTCTTTTGTCTTCGACTGTACCTGATGTGACCCAATGAAAATCTGGACAGTGGGGATCGCAGCACGTAGAGTAGGTTAGCGTGGCATAGCACGGAGGTCTAGGTCGGGTAGCATCGGGTAGCGTCGCATGGTGTAGCATCGGGTAAGTGTGTTCCTGGCTTTACGGCAGAGACTTGCCAAGATAGAGTTTCAGCTTTGAAGGAAAACGTCAGACCCTTGTGAAAAGACGCAATGTCTTGCTTCACCATGAGTTAGGCCAGCAACAGCTCTACACTCCAGACATTTCCTCTTCTAATTTTTTTGCTCTGCTCCCTAGACAACCACTTAAAAGATTGAGGATTTTTGAATGAAAACTTGTAAAAAATCATTAGTATATTTCTTACATGGCTTACATTTTTTTTTCAGTCAAAAGTGCAATCACCCACCAATTCTGGTGCAACAGCTACAAACCCATTCCTTGTCGGTTCACCGACACAGCCGATAGTTGATTTATTCGCTGCTCCGATTCCAACTAATGAAGTACACGTAATATCTTGTTATAAGGCTTAGTCTACAGAAATCATTAATGGCGATTTATTTTCAGGTGCAACAATCGACCAAAGCTTCAGATGACTTGCTGCAGCTTGGGAACCCATTTGCAGATATGTTCAGTACCCCTGCGCCCACTGCCGGCGTGCCAGCAGCACCGCTTGCAGCTGTCCAGCCACAAGCGCCTGTCAATAATGTTTGGATGTCAAATGGTAAAAGCTGAATTTTTAAATAACAAAATTCGCCTTGACTATTTTTTTTCTTCCAAATTTGTAGGTTTCAATGCTGCTCCTGCACCAGCTCCCGCTAATGCATTCGTCAGCGACAACACCTTTAACTCAGTCTTCGGAGGAGCAACTGATAACGGCACTGCAGCTCCACAAGGTGAGACATGATATTTTTACATCATCTCGTTATTATCAATACCAAAATAATTGTCACACGAAACTCATAAAGTACAAAAGAAATCTAAAAATGAAAGCAAGGTTTGTTTGAATTTTTTTCCTCCTGCCTGGCCTGACTTTTTTGTAAATAGTTTTTTAACATTGGAAGAAATTTTTAAAACTTAAAGAATGGATATAGTTCATGTAGTTGCATGTATATAACAGTAATAAATTGTACAATATAAAAGACAATATATTGCAACTATATTTCATGATTGAATTTAGTAAATTCAGTGAAGAGTTTGTTTAGAATTATTAATGAGAGTTCTTTACAAGCATGTTGAGGCCCAAAACCCTCTTCTCACATGAAAATAACAATAGACTGCTATGTACATGCAATTATAATTACTAATTTATATTTTGAGAATAAGCACGTAACCATTGTCATAAATTCAGGAAAGAGATCTATTTATTTCTGCATCCATTTGAAACTTCATGCTGCCTCATTTATGCAAAGTGCACAGTGTGATCACGACTCCAAATCAATTTTCATCTATGCAAAATTGTCAAACACCTCAGTCTTTATTATTTTTTATTATTTATTCATATCTGTTATACGCAAGGAGTTATTTTTATTCAAGTTTTTCTTCTCTTTCTTGAATTTGTTTGGAAAAAAATTAATAGTGGTTTGATATAGATATTATTATTCAAACAATAGGTAGTTGTTTATGCCAGTCTTCATTATTTTATGTGTTTTGGTGTTCACTTTCTTGCACTATTTGTTTTTTTTGGACATTTTAAAAATTATTTTGGTATTTTGCTATATAATATTTTTGTGTTTTTGTTAAATAACTATGGTAAGAAATGTTATTTAGGGCTTGGAAGATTCTTGATTGGTTATTAAAAAAAAATTCTATTGCTGTTGTGATTAATATTAAAATGCGAGTGCACAAAAATGACTTGAGTTTTTTTTTAACTAACAGGGGGACAACCAGGTTGGTGTAACTCCAAACTATCGGACACCAATTGTGAATAATTGGCCCTGGTTTTGCCTTTTTTTTTTTTTTTTTTTTTTTTTTTAAGTTGAAATTTTCCATTTTTTAATGTTTTTATTTTGCTGTTCTACTTGCTTAAATCAACTGGGTGAATATATCATTTTAAAACTTTTTATTTATTTATTTTTTTAATGTTGATTACAATAAAAATATAGTAAAAGCTATCAAAGTGGGTCAATAATGAAAAAATTCTAAAAACCAAATATTTTAAAGTAAGCTAGGACATAAAAAATTTTTTCATGAAAAACTGTAAGCAGACGATGGCCAGATCATCTCTACATTCAATTGCTTTTCTCTAAGCGATAAGAGAGTACCGGCATTCGCTACTTAATTCTTGTGGGAAGGTGAGGTTCTAGAATTTAATAATCCAGAGAATGTATTCTTCGACATTTATTTTATCACACTTCCATTTTTTAAATGAACATAACGCAACAAGAAAATCTTAATTAATGTAAAAAGTCAGCCGCAACTCTAAATCTGGGATGAGTATTAACAAAGGGACTTAGGTTGCGCCACAATCAGTGTTCTCAGTATTCCCAGCTCCTTTCTGGTTTCTCGATTTTGGTTGGCAGTTGAGTCGCAATGACTGGTCCTCGCTGGCTCTGGCTGGCTGAGTCCCTTTGTCCAGTCCCCGATAGAGTGTAGGTGCTTTTCTCCCGGATCGACTCCTAGAGCTAACTGATCACTGCCTATGGTCTCCGACTCACTGTTGGAGCCCTTGGTCTAAACTGACTTTTGATTTCCAAATCCCTTTTTATACCAGTTCCTTTACCGGAATAGGGGTGGAATCAAAGGGAAATAAAAAAGGAATTTCCACCGACAAAGACGGGTGTTGTGCACCTTGTTGGCACAACCCCAATTTATGATGTCCCATGTCACTACATATTTGAGTTAACAGGGGTTAACATCTCACAAACATCGTGAATACCCCTTTTATCAATAACCCAAAAAATTAAAAGTAAATTCACTAGTTTCGTGGTCCATTGGACCAATTAATATCTTTCAATTAATTAACTTTTTTAGTTGAGATAAAAAAGTCAGTGTCACAAGCGGATTAGAACCCATGATCTTTGGCTAGATACGCTGCTTCAGATAACCACTTGAGCTATCGTGACCTCGATTCACTCAGACACTAATTTCGGAGCAGCGGCGTATTTAGCCGAAGATCGTGGGTTCGAATCCCGCTTGTGGCAATGAAGTTTTTATCTCAACTAAAAAGTCTTAATTAATTAAAAGTAAAATACTGCAGATTTTTTTTGTGTGAAACTAACATGAAATTTTCTTTTAGCACCTCTAGCATTTCATAAATATAAATTTTTGCTTGAATTTAAATTTGTCGATTTTTATGACCCCTAAAATTTTTCTAATTTTGAGAAGTCATTATCGGAATATTTGATTGGTTTTTGATTATTGGAATATTTGAAATGGTTATAATTCAAAAACGGCTAAAAGGATCACACCAAACAGGCCATTTGAAAGAAGAGATTTCTACAAGACATTAAACTTCTTTTTTTTTCTTCTTCTTTCTTCTAGATAGCAATAATAGTTTAATGTTTCCAAATATGTGACCCACCAACCTGGTTGTCCCCTGTAGGCAAAATTACAATTCTTCTCAATTTCAAAAATCTAACATGAATTTTCTCAAGCTGGAATTAACTGAGATTTGCAATATAAAATACATAAAATAATAAACTTAAAAATATATATTTTAATCTATACCGAATATTTATCCATCGGCTGAACATTAATTGCATAAATTTGCGTATATTTTTTTATTGACACTTTCCAAGATCTATGCATAAAATCAATCAAAACACCCATTAGACAATGAACTAAAAAAAATAAGAACGTGCACTTCAGAACATTCGATTTTCTATTGGGAATGTTAATTATTTGATATATTTGTTATCAAATGGAAGAACTTTTTTAAATGGGTCAAAAGGTACAGCTTATATTGATGTTACCAGTTGATTATGAGTCTTGAAATTTTGGTATTTGGTTTCTGCCTCATACTGCTCAACAATTCATGTTAAACTGGAAATTACTTGTGTTTTGGCATTGAGCCATCTTCATGAGGAACTGCCCCTCATGCTGAGAGGGGCTTGCATGTCATTGGGTCCAACTCTTGTCGCTAGTGATGTTAGGGGTTATGGTCATGGTGTTTTGACACCACATAATGGCGGTGTTGTCTGTTATTTCTGCGGTCGTTTATTATTTGTATGACGTTAGATTTCGATTTTAGGTTTCGACTAAAACTCCTCTCACTGAAAAACGCCAAAACGCATTTGAGTAATTAATTTTCCCAATTTTTAGTTCAAGTATTCCTTTTGGCTTTATTTTTTGTCTTCCTGCTATGCCTGTGGGAAACCCAAATTGGCAGACAAAATTGTCAAGATTTGCCAAAACATCTCTGGGTCTTACAAGAGGTCTTACAACTTCCTCAGGAGCTGCTGGAAAAAAACGGGTTCAGGCCTTTCAGGAATGCTCAGCCTGCTGAGATTCGAACCGAGAACCCTTACAGTGATGACTGTACTCATTGACTGATGAGTCTTTGGGTCCACACTCTAACCATTGCGGCCACCAAAGCCCCTGAGATTCTTCAGTATTGTTGAATGAGGTCTAGCTCTTTGTCCTCTTGTTGCCCACTTTATTTTTAGTTTTCATTGAGAAAAACCGTCACTTTGGTCGTGAATTAGATTTTTTTGTTATTATCTAATTGTGTCTTTCATTATGCATTATAATCCATATTTAATTCTTGTTATTTTAGTTTTATTTAACATTGGTACATTTATAATTACATCTATTTACTTTTATAGCTTCAATGTTATTGTGTTAACAGAAAAGAGTTCAGTTCATGGTTAATTCATCCACTGTTTTCAAAAACCATAATAAATGGTGATAATTTGTCCACACTCTAAGTTTTTGATGAACTATGTTGAACATTAGGGATTCGTCTACTAATATGCAACAATATTGAGTAGGGCTATTTCAGTAGCCATTAAATTGCAAATCTTAGTCTAAGATAATGTAGAATTTGTACAGAGTATTAAAAAAAAATGTGCACAAAGTGGAAAGAATAAACATATGAAAACAAATTTTGTGCAAGCTGGCGTAGTGGATCCCACGGTGAATCCTTTTATGACAGACTTCCCCGCGGGTGAAGAGCCGGGGAAGACTGCGACTCCTCCTCCTCCCAGACCTCCTCCTCCTCGTCCTTCCTCACCGCCCAAGACGGCCCTGGACGACCTGAACGACTCGATAAGGATGGCGATGGGCGGGACGCCCTCACCGTCGAGGCCTCCGCTTCCTTCTGCTCCCACTCCCATTCCCCAACAACAGCCGTACCAAATCCCGCCCCAGAACCCGCAGATGCACTACAGTTCTCCGGCCAAGGTACCCTTGGTAGCGATGCAAGGTAAATTTTCACCGAAGCACATTTTTTACATTTATTCACCAACGAGAGCGTCTCAGAACAAACTCAATTTTTAAACTTGCTTAATTAAAAATCAAACAACTCCACTAGAGAAAAATATGCTGAGTTGTAATCCATATTTGATTAAATGATTAGGTTTAAAACACATTCTAAAGTGAGCCACTTCTTTTTCTTAATAGTCAAAATCATTATTAAGAAGACATTTTTGCATTTCTTGTTTTTCCTCGGTCTAATTTGTTTTTACCTCAATAACTTTTGTCATGTGATACATTGGCATTAACAACACTTACAAATTTTCATTCCATCAAAATGCTTTTCATTAAATTAATATTAATATATTACTTGACATCAGAGAAATAGGAAGACAGAAACTTGGAAGTGGATGTTTTATCATTTGAAAAAAAAAAAAAAAATAAAAAATACTAATAGCACTTGGGAATAGATGCATACCAGGAAAAACACGAGGTATATACATTTTAGACTTCAGCTTAAACAGAAGCAAGAATTGACAGGCAAGCCGTCCAACTTTTCTAGATGTAAAATTGAGTAAAAGTTCCTTGGATGCTCCCTCGTTGGTTTCTTTTTTGTTTGGTTTTTCATTCTTTTAAATCTTGCCGAGCACTTTATAGTTTATAAAAAAAAAGCATGCTGTTTTTTTTTTCTGTCACAATCTAAATGATTCCATTTTAGAAAGGTATGTTTCCAGCATTTCTGTACATTTTCTTTTTTAAACTAACCACATTTGGAAAATTTGGATTAGATGATTATATAAACATTTTAGGCAATAGATATGATCTTTGATGATTTTTATTGTTTTCAAAATTTAAAAAAAAGTACTAATTTTCAATGAAGCAGTCTGTGTTTTCTTGTAATAATTAAAGAAAAAAAGCATGCTGATCACTTTTTCACCAATTGGTTGTTAATTGCTATTTTATAAATTAATATATTCTAGCTGATGCAAATACAAATGATAATACTTTAGAATTACATATGTGCATATTAAGCAGACTAAAATAAGTTTTACATAAGCTAGAATATAATTATATAAAAAGGAAACACCCAAATGAACTTCACGTTTTTTCCCTGTATATGAATAAATTCAAACTTTTATTCTCATAGTAGATTAACTAAAATAAACAAAAATGCAGTTTAATTAATGAATGTAAATTTTACCCTTGGTTTAATTGATTGTTAAAATATTAAATATTTTATTTTTTGATGCTTCATTTGGCACAACTTGCTTAGTTTTAGGTAAAAAGTTGTCAAAAAATGAAATTTTTCCTAAAATTTTATAGAATTGTGCAGGGCTTCTAACTGTGACAGCCTTTTAAAAGCCTTATTAATTTCAATCCGCAGAGTTTGTAAATTTACGACTTTTCATTTTAGGAGGAGCGGAATCTCAGACAGGCAAAGTCCTCACTGGCGATCTGGACACCAGTTTAGCAATGCTCGCCGAGAATCTCACGATGAACAAGGGCAACCAGCAGACACAGAAGTGAGTAATGCCGAACCCACCCCTTTTTTTTTCAGTTTCTGATTTGACAATTTGACAGGGGCATGCAATGGAACTCACCGAAGAACACAGCAAAAGGCGCGGGTGGCACGGGGTGGAGCCCTCAACCTATGGCTGCTACGACAGGCGCCAACTACAGACCCATGGTATAAAATTCAATTTTGCAAGATTGCACGATTTTTTTTTTATCATTCTTTAGTATATTTTTATTATATTAAAAAAAACCCATTCGTTTACAAAACCTTCACGCATAAATTGGAATTTTTTTTTGGTTTTCAGTACTCTAGGAAATAGGATTCCAGTTTGATTTTTGTTTTTATTGTAGTTGATTTTCGTATTAAATATTTTTTATTATTATAAAAATTAGTTTGATAGTCTAGATTTTTTGTCTGTAATTAATGCAAATTTTTTAAAAATTTTATACCAAGCATGAGCATAGCTTTACTTCTTTTTTTTTTTGCACCATCAATTGTATTTGTCACTGTAATATATATCTATTCTCATATCACCGGAGCATGTTGCTAATTTATAATTTACAATGAAACATACGCACAAACCCTTAGGGTGCACTTGTTCTAACTGAAGCGAGCCAGCCAGGATTAACTGCTAAAGCCTCTTAAGACCTCACCTACTTCATTTAAAATTCTGCTTCACCTCAAAATGTAAAAATTGTAAATAATCCCCTATAAATATCGGCAATTCAATTCAGTTCATTTTAAAATAAGCTCTCCTTTTACTTCTAGTATTATATAATTCTGTAGCTTAGTTTGCTTGGCATATAGTGCACGATTGCAGACATTGTTTATTTCCAGGGCCAGGGCATGATGAGCACGCCGCAATTCAACAATTTCCACCATATGGTAAGTCTGAGTATAAAAGAGACACAAAGACTCTCATGTGGGGGGGGGGTCTGATTTTCTGAATAAAACCCGTTTCTAGGGTCCCGGATTGTGTGGCGTTCAACATTCTTCTTCTTTGTTGTTTTATTGCACCGTTAGAAAGGAAATTAAAAAACTCTGTAAGATTCCCTCTTTTTACCCCCAATGCAATGCAATATTGCTAAAATTCTTGCCTTGGATTAGTTAGAAATTTTTTTTAGTAATTTTGACTGGCAAATGACAGGAATTAATTAAACTGCCGACAAAATACGTTATTTTGTTATATTACTACTTATTTTATTTAAGAGAAAGCTTTTGATATTTGTCGAAATTTAATTTTGTTTAATTTAAGCGTATTAATTTGAAAAGAGTACGATTTCATTTTATGACTGTTATACTAATTTGCCATCGCAAACTCTTATTAATTTTTGCCTAATGAAATTGTCCAGTGAAGAAAAAAATTAACCACTAATACATATAAATTATGTCTTAACCTTGTCTTGTTCTATACATTTCTCTTTAACCATGTTCTATTTCTTATTAAAAAATGTGTGCGGTTTTACGAAAAGTCAAAAAATTGAAAGTGTACCATTCATTGTTCTAACATTTAACAATGCGGCCTCACATTTAATCCGGGACCCTTGTCTGTTAACATTTAGCATTTAATCTTATCTCTTTGGTAAAAAAAAAAAAAAAAAAAAAAAAAAAATTCAATAAATTTTCTCTGGATGTAAGCATGTTTCTGCATTTGAGAGCATGTTCATAGTGCATTCTGGTAATTTTTCATGAGTCTATTTTTTTTATTTAATTTTTTTTATACAACTTCTGAATTCTAAAATGAATCCAAAGCATGGGATTTTTAAGCATTTGTACAAGAATTTATGTGTAAGAATGATTGTCATCTATCAAGTAGTAAAAAAAATATATAAATAAAAAAATATAAAAAGTAAACAAAAAAATATATATACATACACATATACATACTCATATATTTTGTACTTTACAAATAAATATAGCGCTGTATTTTTGCTACTTGAAAATAATTACATAAATTTCAAATAAAAATGTACATAATAAAAAAAAGGCTTTTTTAAAAACTGTAAAAAAAAAATCATGAGTGCTATATAAAAGTAGAAAACCGAAAGTAAATTAGCCTAATTGAAAATCATCTCCCAGTACATATATAGCACTCATAATGCATGATCTTTGTGGTGTAGGGTATGATGCCAGGTGGTATGGGCTCTCCAAGGCAAGTCCCTCCAAGTGCCCAGCCCCCTTCGCAGGCACAGGAGTTAGACCCTTTCGGTGCTCTTTGAACAGGTAATTAACCCCTTTGTATAATGATTCTAAATCGTTACAGCTATTTGCTACTTCTAAAACATAGGAGAATAATTTGCTTATTAACAAATCATTCTAATTTGAATGTGTTGAAATTCTGTTTATTGCCAAATTACTTAAATGCATACATTTTGAACATAATGCCTATTGTTTCACTAATTTCTACAATAAAAAAAGTTACAGTTAGAATATTTTATTATTATTGGTTAATGCTGTAGATTTATCATGTTTTTTCTTTTATTTGTAAATGAATCCTTTAGAAATGGATAAGTGTGCGTAGGTGATTGAAAGGCAACGGTGATTTTAAAATTGCAGCAAGTTTGTTTTACAGGGTCCTGTATAGAACAAACATTATATAAACCTGAATGTTTTCATTCAACAATGGCTTTTGAGCAAAATTGAAAGTGGTTTTTGTCTTCAAATGTATCGGTGAAATTAACTCCATTGTATTTTCCCACAATATTGTGGAAATTGTAAATGTACAATGTCAACTTCAAGGCATCTACGAAGGATTCTCCATTTATTTTTTTAAAATTTTGGAGCTGCCACGGCAGAATTGTCAGGGCGTCCGACTAGACGTTCTTGGTTCATCTGGCCTGACCTTTGAATTATACAGTAGTTGAGAATAATTTGGGAAAAATGTAAAACAATTTAATCATAGTTTGATTGGAGCACTCCTATATGACATTACTTTTATTATTTGTTAGAATTTCAAAATTTCACCTTTCTACAGTCTGGGGTGACAATTAACTATTTAATAAGAAACTGTTAAATCTTAATAAAGTTAAATCTTCATAACTTAGACTTAGACTTAAGCTCTCATGTATTACAGAATTTCAAAAATTTTCACCAATCTACATTATCGTGACAATGTATAATTATAAATTATATGAGAAACTGTTAAATTTCTGTAAGTTTGGTTGTTTTTGATAATTTTTGTCATGGTGCGTCCTCACTGTTTTTGTCATACCACCGTTGAAGTGGCATAAAGCCTGGATAGGCAAAACAGAGGTTCATCACCCTGTAGATGAGTGAGCCAAAAATTCAAAATTAAAGTTAGTGATGGTCGAAAATTACTCTAGATAGCCCTGCGAAGTTTCCCTGTTGAATTCCTGGAAAAACCTCAACATGGGAAGAAAACTCACAGAATTTCCAGTAGTTCCTTCCCCTACAAATAAGGCAGATTTTAAGCGGATAAAATCTCAACACCGAAATGAACTTTAAAGTATTGCCTTTTATTTACAGTGATGTGCCGCTTTCACCGCGAAAGCCGGAGGACACAGGCGGGCGTGTGACATTCACATGTTCAACCATAAGCCATAAGATTATCTACCAGCCCCATAAAATTCATAGCATTTTAAATTCATAAGTTTAAATTCATATTAATAAACTTGTTTTTAAATCTTGTGCTGATGTAGGGTTTCCTTATGTTATAACACACCAAAATTGGTCGCAAAGTGCAAGGTTATAAATTGGCCGACTCTTTTTTAACTAGGCACGACGGGGTTGTGGAAGGAGAAAAGTAAGTGTTTGAAAACGTAAATTGTAGGTGTATTATATATTTTTTATTATGAGAGCAATATTATTTTTTTCTTTTAGGTCTGTTTTTAAACGATACATAATTATCTTTCTGGCTCTAATTTTTTTACACAAAGAATTTATCTTGCTGTCAAGTGATAGAAAATTTCCGATGTCAAAAAACTTTTGAGCACGCTTGCCCTAAATGTGGTTAAATGAATAAAAATCCATGGCATCATTGTATTATTATGTGTACTTTAATGATTATTGTATATATTGGTGGTAATCGTTTGAATGGAATTGTAGATATTTGGAATTTTTTAATAGGACAAAATTTTACGTTGTCTTTACAGTTTCTAGAAATTTTCTTTATTTTGTGACAGTAAATGTTATTCGCAAGGTGCCAATGTGAGTGTGCCGCACATTTATTTTCTCACCTGGAACATTTGTACAATTTATTAAAATTGATTTAAATTGTAACCAGCTTGATATGAAATGTGCTTAAGACAATTTTAGGTTTCTGAAACCATTTTTTCTTCTTCTGATAATGCTGTTGAAAGTGTAATGTTGTTTTAGCTTGGCATGATAACACTGAATGTCGACAAGTTCCTCCTTCAGAGATGACGAATGTACTATGTGTTGCAAGTATATTTTAATAATAAAAATTCAAAATTACACAGTCGATGGCAACAGCCAGGAAGTTTAATTCCATTTTAATTTGCCACGCTTGTTTATCCAATATCTTTAAAAGGACTGTATGAGGAGGTTAACTTTTAGTTTTGTTTTATACTATATAAAGTCAAAAGGTTTTTCTTTAGCTGATTCAAATTTTAAATTTTCGTTTTTATCTGTCTAAATTGTAATGAAGTAAAATAAAAAAAGAGGACAGTTATGGGATCAAATTATCAATTATCTTATTAAATATAATTTATAAATGTTTGCATGTTCTATAAGTGGCATAATGGTTCGTGAAGTGTTCGTCTTATTTCATTTTTCTTGCATGAAGATGTGAATATATTTAATTAAAATGTTACATGCCAACCGTTTATTTTTACAGGAATTTAAGTGGACCTGAATGGCCTGTAAATAAGAAACTTGTATGGTAAGCCTTGGCTCCCTTCCTTGCCAGTTACCAACAGTATAATAATAGGGAAAAATATATAAGTTTATATGAATGTGTAAATTATTGAGAAAAAAATGGAAACTATAGCCTATTGAACGTGAATGTAAAGCCCCTTCTTAGTCGCCGGGAACTGATAAGCAGCCTTCCACGTGCCTAAGTTGACGGACCTGAAGACAGCGGCATCGTTACTTTATTTCTGTTATTTTTACTTTTTTCATTTTCGCTTTGTAACACTTGCCATTTAATACATTGTTAATGTTTTCGTATGTTAACATGACTTAGAATAAATGAGAGACTAGTTAACTTATGTATCAGCTCTTAGAGTAATCTCTTTAAATTAGGGGAGCGAGATGGAGACGATTGTTATTTATTGCCAACGAATTTTTTTTTCTTCTCTTCTTCAGATTACATATTTTAAGATTGTAATATAAGCTATATATATTTTTCTCTGAGATTAATATTTGCTCCTTTTTTTTTGTTATTGTATATATGCAAACTTATTAGGTGTTTTCCCTTGGTTGTAAGTCCATTACTATTTTAGGGACAGTATTTATTAATAATAACACTTCCCCCTCCCATTCAAATCAAGTGTGATATAATTCAATTTACTTGTTTTAAAACTCAATTATAAATGTTTAAAACAAATATATATTGTGAGACTAAAATTTATATTATATAAACACATCTAAAAAAAAAAAAAAAAAAAAAATATTCTATGAATATATTATATATATGAAGTTATAAAATGAATGGGATTAAATTTAACAAAAATAATTTATATGTATAATGCATCATTAATTAAAAAAAGAAAGAACTAAGGATTATAAAAACAACTTGAAATCATAAACTTGACAATATTATTTTTAAGTGTACCCAATTATATATAAAGCATTAATAATTGTAACGAAATAATCATAGATTTCCACTTCTAGGGAGTGCACGTATAAAATTATAAAAGTCTTTCTCCAGGTCTGCCTAAAAAAGCATAAACGGCTGACAAAAAACATTAGAAAAACAAACCTAATTTTTAAAAGTAATTAGTTGCTTTTTGGCCTGTACATAGTTAAAAAGAAAAGTATAATATATAAATTAAAATATTTAAAAAAAAAAGAGAATTGATTTGGTGTAATTGTATAGAGAAGTAAGTAAACTAATTCATTATTTATTCAGGGACTTTCTTTTGAGAATTAGACCACTATGAAATATTTAAATGTATATTTAGATAAATATTAATTGTATGGTGAGAGAGAACAGAAGAAAATTAGCTTTTCATGTACAGCTCCAGAGTAATTAAATCACCCTACCTAAAAGAAAGATACAAAGAAAGAGATTCACATGTGATATGAAAACACAGATCTTTAGCTTCATTCCATCGGTGTGTCTATGGATGTTTATTGTAGAGAGCTTTTATATATAAAAAAAAAAGAAATTAAGCACATTTCAGTACTTTTTAAAACTGCATTTCAATTTAAAAAATTATTTAATGTGCCTAATTAATTTAATTTTTATTCATTGTTAAATAATTGAAAAGACATTCCACTGTTTTTATTTTATTTTTTTTGTTGATTTATATATACTTGTTTTTGTCAGTGCTTACATTGTGAATTCCTTTTTTGGAACTGTTAATTATATATTTTAATGTTTCCATCACAAAGCTTTGTTTAAGAGTTACGTTTGCAAACAAATTTAATGATATATATCTATATTTATAATTGATTTCATGAAATGAAACAAAAAGTATTATACAAGAAATTCTGCTATTACACGCTTGTTTTTATTTATAAACCTTTCCTCCCTACAGTGTTTTGTTTATCTGAATTTTTATAGTTTGGTTTATAACAAAATTGTTTCATTTTTTTCTAGAAAGGTGTAAAATGAAAATGAAAGTCCATTGTGCAAAGCAAGCTGCATAAATCAGCATGTTGAGGATGTGCTTGTATTCGATTTTTTCTTCTTTTTTTAAAGCCAGGTTGGTATAACCAAAGATCACTAATGAGCACAATTTAACGCATATACAGCATTTTACAGAGATCAAGTAACCTGTTTGCAATTTTTTTTGGCATGTCGTACATGTCGCTAGGTATTATGCACCTCCGAATTTCCATTATCGCCTTGGCGTTTCCACGATTGAATTTCGGTTCTCTTCCTGTGTCTTCCGATTTGTATTAGCTGCGGTCGAGGACAATGGGCCCTTTGGGTGGGTGGGAGACGGAGAAAGGAGAAAGCAGTTGGGACGTGTCATAGTTCATCTGGGGAGGTCGATGTCGCACGATATGACTGCGATCCCGTTGCGCAACCAGCCGCCATCTTATCTCAGACCTTTCTTTATTTGGGATGTAATCGCTGAAACGAAACTACGTACTCATCGGAAAGGGCGAAAAAAAGTGGAATAAATTTGGTACAAACCAGTAGGCAAGAAGTTAACACTGTCTTTGACTTTTTAGATAATTATGACAAAATAACAGTTTAAAGTAGTTTAATTTGGGGAGGGGGGTTATGGTTGTTTTACCAGCTATTTTGTATGTGCTGGTTAGTTGTTCCGATCATCCAAACTTACTATCCTTGCTGCTTTGGTCTTGTCATATGCGATTCGGCATTTCGCATGTCCAGTGCTTGCTCATCAGTGGGCGTTAGAAATAAATTAAACTGTAAGGACGGTAAATAATCTATCCACTGCACCGTAATCAATCATCATTAATCATCCTTGTTATGCCCACTCTCGCTGGATTTATTGCAGAAACGCGTCTGACAGACCAAACCGGTGTGTAAAGGCAGACCAAACCATCGGAAGCTATCAACCTAGAGGTTACGTGAAATACTAAGTTTTATCCTTATACAAAAATAAATACCTGGGTAATCTGTTCAGTTAAAGCTTTTCCTGAAATATTTCAGAATTTGAAGTTGCATTGTTCGACCTTTTTCTTTCTAAGCCTGTTTCTTCGACAAGGGGTTGAAAATGTCAAAAAGAAGAATAGGCAGGCGAGGTGTTAGACTCATCAAACGAAGTCCTTGTAACACGGCCAACGAGATACCAAGGAACTATTACGCTAAGGACTTTATGGCATCCGGGACGAGTCTAACGATCGAGGTCTTCAAAAGGTCTTAAGTAAAATTACCCAATGGGTCAAACATTAAAACTGTTGTGAGAAAACCGACATTGTACAGACTTAGTTTCGCCAAAAACTAGTTTTACGAGTTCGATTTTATGGGATTTTGAATCCTAAATGAACAATTCAATAAAAAAATATATTTTATTCTGATGCTGAAAGTAACTTTCCATAAGAAAGACTCGTGTGAAAAGATGCTTCATGTATCTAGTTCAAAGTTTGGGGAAAAACCTTATTATGCCTGTTACTTATTATCTCATTATTATTATAGACATCTAATATTTGATGTAAAAAATCACTTTTGTCTCTGATTTCATGTTTATTCACTGTTGAAGAAAATCGACTGGATTCTACTTTGTACATGTTCTACTTAAATAATTGTTATAAGGAAAGTTCTATAAACAATAAAGACACTAAATGAAACAAAATCGAATCTTTTTTTTTGTACTAATCAATCCGTATGCAGTTTTTGAGATGGATCCAGAAGACACTGAAAATAGCGCAATGCCAAAACAAATCTAACAGACAGACAGACCAACCCAGCGAGGATAGTCAGACCAAAATGACTGATGACTAAATTTCACGTACGCAGGTTGTATGGGACATATCAGGAATAGTCTCGATGTGCTGGAAATAGCTAAGCTCTTGTAAGTTATTCACAGTCTATATAAAATATAAGCTCGTTGCTGCAAAAGGACGACTTTGACCAAATATCGACCCATTTGGTTAATTTCTTGCCAGTAAGTCGCTGAGTCGTTTGTCTCCTCTCTAGCAGAAACATCCTTTTTATAACGAAGAATGTCTTAGCAAGCGATCGATGAATAACTGATCACAGTAGATTATCATGTATGATTTCTATTATTGGACTTTGTACTTTGACCCCGAAGGGTTGTCACTCCCCTTTGTGCTGACCTTAGGGTCTTACCTCAGGAGAGTTCACCTCACCTACCCCGTTATGAGCCTGGGTCATTGGTATCTCCCTTAAGGTCACTCAGTCGACAGCTAAGTCATTTCAGCCCCAACATAAAGCAGCATATAAAAAAACTAACTTATATAATACAGTCGCACATATAAATACATTCACACTATGTACATTGCACTCATTGTGATTACTCTTACTTACTAGTTTTTAGAGTACTAGTTTTATTTTATTTTCTTGGCCCTTGGGTCAATTTCTATGCAGGTACTTCTTGGAATTAACGATTTCTAGGTATAAATAAAAATGGACGATTCTAACCAACACACTCAATATTAATTTTTTTGGTTCTGGTTTGGGTTTTGACTTGGATGATCGACTTATTAGTCACTGAGGTGATGTTCAATGTAATTAATGATATATTTGAAGAAATGAACAATTTGTGGACGTGTAAGCCGAAACACACCTTCTGAACTCAGCTTAAACTTTTTACTTTTCATGTTAATTCTGGAAAATCTTTTCTAGGTTCCTTTTTTTACTACGATGTGCTGGTTTTTCGTGGTTAGATATAAGATTTTGTTCCACAACATGCTTTTAAAGTTAGTCATCGATTGATATAGAAGATCTTTCGCTGTGCCAATAAAATTGATACAATCATTACAATAAATTAAGGTTTTTAGTTGAGATGAAAAAAAGTTAATGGCACGAGAGGGATTCGAACCCACGACCTTCGGCTAGATACGCCGCTGCTCTACCACCTGAGCTATCGTGACCTCGATCCGCTCGGACATCAACTCCCCATCTCAACCCCACCTTATGAGTTTTCCCTCCTTTTGCCATTTTTCAAAAGGAGTTGAGATGGGGAGTTGATGTCCGAGCGGATCGAGGTCTCATAAGAGGCATCCCAATAAAATAAGATTTTTGACAATAGCAACTAATGACATGCAATTTATCTTTTAGAGCTAAACAGTACTTATTGGGTTATTTTTGCGTTTTTCGACGAGAAGTCATCAGTTGAAGCCATCAATGAGATAGGCGAAGAAAAATAGCCGTAAAGATTCTTCACTCTTTTACAAAATGGTGTCTACCGTACACTCTTATCATAGTCGTTTGAGAAGTACATTTAGTTGGAAAATCGGGCAAAATCTTTTCCGTCACGAGTCCTAAAAGGTTTTCTTTGCTTTGTCTGGGATCCCAGCCGCATTATTGCCAAAGCCACGAAAGTGAATCATTGTTCTTGTCGTACCTTAAAATCTTGCACAAAACGTCATTGTCCACGGCGCCTCCTCGGAGGAAAATTCCGACGGACCACAAATGGATTTCGAAACCCTTCGGAATAACAGGCGTGTTTTTAACAGGTTAATTAATATGACGTGCAGCATTCAGGTTCCATTTCATAACGTGATTAATACTGAAGGATTTACACGATGGTATCGTCGACGTGTGGCGTCGTAGAAACGTTTCCCACAACCGCTTATCTTCCCACAAAAATACTCTTAGAGAAGGAACCCCGTTCTAGCGATGTCGGGGCGAAAATGTTTGCGTTTATGCAATTTTCACTTCACCCAGCCTTGACAAAAGCTCGAATGAATGAGGTGTTGCAAAAGTCTATTGATAATTTCATAAATAACCTAAGGTTTCAAGGCTTAGTGTCAAGGGAACACTTTTTATTGATATATCAGTTTTGATGATAAACTGGTGGATCAAGGACGCAAGAAGTTACATAGAGCAGAAGTGTTTGGAACCAAATGTTCAGAAACCCTTGGGAAAGTTCACCAGCATCTTCCAGGTTGAAATCCATGAAATTGATAGATGTACTGTACAATTTGAACAAAGAGTACAAAAACAAGAATATTGCTATCATGTGAGATACCCAGGATGTCATCAAAGCAGTAGTTGTTAGCTTAAACATCATTAGTTCGCAGATGGTGCTGAATTACAAAATTTAATAAATTAGTTAGGCAAAATAAAGTTACTCTCTCCTGGATCCCAGGACATGTAAGAGTTGAGGGAAACGACCCTTGCAAGGAAGGAGGGGTGCTGCTAAACCGCTGATAGGTCCTAAGCCCTTATGTGGCATAGGGAGTCTCACTATCAGAGAGTATCTTAGACAAAAAGTCAAAATGAAAATGGAGAAACAGTGGAATTCACAATCCAAGAACCATGTAGCAAGCTTTATTAGGACAGAAGCAGGAAAAATTTCGAATCCTAACAGGATTCTTAAGACAATGCATGATGAATGTGCATTTGAAGAAGATTGGTGTAATCCAGCACGTGCAGATTCTGCAAGGAAGCAGAGGATATACCAATTGGCATCTACTAACAAACCATGAGGCCACATTTATAATCTAGCTTTATTTGCTTAAGTATTTTTCATTTTTATTGATTAACAATTGTAGTTCCATTATTTTGATGTTTGCTCGTTTGCGATCATCCTGACAAATTATATTTACTTATTTCGTCTGTAAGACGGGTTTTGACATTTGGCCATACTGGTTGACCAAGCCAACGAAGAACGGTGGACCTAGCCGACGGACTACACATGCAACACCTCGCAGACAACAATATATCTTGAATTCTTGTCAACACGCTTCAGTTCGTCCAGTTGATATAGTTATTACGGTGGCCCAGTTACAATTTGATGTGCTTATTCCAGGACGAATAGTAACGTAACCATTTGATATGCTAAAATGAACATTTATTGAATAACTTAGCTGAACTACTTCTATTTTAGAGAGGATATCCAATTTTAGTGTTTTGATTCTGGTCAAGCTGGTCTATCTACCTTTGCTGTAACATGGTGTGTCGACGAGTTTCATCATTTTGGCTTGTGATGATGATGCCGATGTGCCTCTAGAGGAAATTCGGGTTTTTCTTACTCAAGCATGCAGCCTTCTGGCTTATTGTACTTTCCTAGTAACTTAGTTCAGTCAGTCGACTAGATCCTTCTTTTAAGGAGTACTAGGTCACTGACTGGTTTCTATAATTCCATTTCCAGGATTTTCTTTGTATCCCGGGTTATGTTTCCTCGAGCAGTTGCTTCGCATTCGAAGGGGAATGGGTGGCTGTTTCTTGCTGCTCCTTGTTGCATAATCTACAGATCATTGATTGAATATGCCCATGTTGTGTTGATTCTTTCGCAAATACCATTGACCTAAATAGTCCTATTACACCTCTGAGTTTAGGCCCTAAGTGAAGAGTGGTAGTAAGTTTGGCAGTATCGTGAGGGTTATTTTAGCATAGGCTAACTGTCTCTAGTACCTCTAGAGTTCATCCTTTCGTCTTTTTTGGATCCATTCTGGGATGGAGAATGTTTGTTTTTGTTATATCACGAATATGTTCAGGGCTTATATATGCAGATCCTACTTTGGTCAGTATGTCTGCCTTTTACCCAAAATTCCTTTTTGTCCTATGGTTGGCTATCCGTTGTCATGAGGAGTTTTTGACAGTCTAAACTCTTTTTAAATTTTCTAAGGCACTAGCGTTGATGTATTTGAGCTTGACAAATCGGGGTGTATTAACCAATGAGTTTGATTGTTCATATTTTGGGCTTGTACAAAAGACCCCAGATCCGGTTCACTAATGTGATTTGGAGACATCTTATTTATCTGTATATATCATTGCATTTGATGTTCTCCTAAATTCTTCTTTTCTTTTGTAGCCTTTTGTTATAGGATGTTGTAAAGAGTGTTTCCGGGAACAAGAATTGGCATAGCAGGATGATGCCTGACCGGATTGCACAACACACAAAGTGCAGAGTACGCGTTTTCCAGATAGTCATTAGTTCGCTGATGATGCAAGGTCATCAAATAGTGGAGATTTATTCGCCTTTGAAATCGAACCCTGATGAAATCGTAAAAAAAAAACTGACAAACTGATTAATGATATGGCATACATTAAGTAGCGATTGCTCAGCTAATTTTAAATGTCCGACGGCACACGCAATCTGTAATAAACGCTGGAGGTTGTAGGACGACGTAGCAAGTTTTCAAAAATTAAAACTATCTACTGACATTTTAAAACCATTATGAAATACTATTAAAACGATTAGTTTAATTCGATCTTTTGGGATATGGATTTGTAAAATTTCAACATCCTTTCTTGTTTCGCCATGCAGCACTGCGGTTT